AGAGAACAAACATAAGCTGCATTCGATTACACTGAGATCTTAAAGATGACACTAATGCAAAGATGGAAATGACGGTAAAAGCTTAACAAATATGATATACTAAGAATTTATCAAACACATACAAATGGGAAATGCCATTAGATTTAATTTCACGGTAATCTAAATGCTTGGCCTTTTCCACACATTTGAATAAAAAGCAGCCCGTTAAATATGCAAGATTGGGGGCACCCCTTGAGGGCCAAAAGGTTTTATGGCGCTGACCTAAACCACAACGCCATCGATCTTTCTCCCTTCACTTCCTGTTATCCCTCTTACGTCCACTCTCTAATAAAGACACAAAGTGCCAAATAAATAAGAAAACATATTACACAAAATTAAAGACAATATTTGAGGGGCAGATGGACATTCTGTACGTGCAGCTCAGCAGTGAAAAAAGATAATATCCCAACGGGAAGCCTCTGATTTCTTATTGAGTCACAGCCAATATGTCCAGCTGCCAGGTCCTTTCAGGACTAAGCCGAGGTCCTATCAGCCAAACAAGCTGTGCCACATAAAAGCCATTATCAAAACATCATCAACTGCCCATTATCTTCAATTGGATGTTGGCAAGAAATAATACTTCATCACAAGTAAATACACTCGACGGTACCATTTCCCTTCACCCAGTCATTCAACCCAATTATTTTTAGAAGGAAATAAAAAGTTTTTTGAAACACATTTCATAAACCTTTGTTTTCAACTAAATGTATATACTTAAAACAAAAGGTTTTAAAACTACTGATTATTGACAGTTACAGATTGTTTTTAAATAGTATTTGATATATTTTGGATTAACATTGAACTTAATTTACTCCAAAACTAATAAAGACATGAATAACAGGATGGACACATGATTCGGTGTATACTCCATTAGGTGACCTGAGACGTGAAGAGGACACATCACGACTGGGAAAGGTAGTTTACTTTATGAACTTATTTTATTTTGGGTTGCATTAAGCCTGTTCAGACATGGCTGTTTATTCAAAAGGAAGTCATGGTTATTTTAATTATTTTTTCAAACGAATGTCCGACGTGTGAAAGTATTTGTCTGGCACTACCTTCTAATATAACCAGGGCTGCACATAACTGGTGCGCAGAGGCGCATGCACACCCCACGCCAAAAAAGAGTACCGGATCATTTGAAAAAAGGCGCATTTGCGCACCAACATTGAGAGCGAGAGAGAGCGAGAGAGCGAGAGAGCGAGAGAGAGCGAGAGAGAGAGAGAGAGAGAGAGAGAGAGAGAGAGAGAGAGATGCGAGTTGCATAAGAACTGGTAAGATAGCAGGGTTTCCCACACATTGACTTTAGGTTTAATTTTTTTAATCCGTCCGCGAAGAACGACAGCATCTGCGATCCCTCGCTCTACCCCTCGCTATCGCGTGAAGGGTCTGCTTTATGCGCTCCACACAGTAACCCTGCTGCGTGCTCACTAGCGCACCTCCCCCCGTTCATAAAGTCAAGACCCCCTCAAAAGGTCCGGTTTATTTCATTTTAAAGATGCGCACCAAGCAACATCTCCAGGTGCTCCTTTGAGAACCAGGGCAAACAAGTTATGTGCACCCCTGAATAGAACTCTATAACTTATCAAACCTTATTAATAATAAGGGAGTTAATTTCAAGGATGAGAGAGATGCTGCACAGGATGATGTCATGTATTTGCCACTAATAAACACGTTGGCATGGTGTGCGTTTGTGTGTCTCTGTAGCCAAATCTAATCAACTTCGGTGATGAGCAACTCCTGCAACCTTGCTTTGCCACTTTGCTTAACGGACGCACCCAATTTGGTGTAAAAAGGAGGGGGAAATTAGGAGATAAATTCAAATTACCCCTGTTATAGAAGCAGGGAAGGGAAATGGGTTTTGACTCCAAACATGGGCACTAAGCCAAGCCTCGTGGTTCTGCCGCTTTGTTTTCTGTTGGTGTACAGACTGCAGAAATGATGTGGGACCCACAGTTACCTCTGGCACTTAACCACTGCGTTTCTTTTTTATTAAGAGAGCTGACAGACACTTTTTGGAGTCAAAAAAAGTCCCAGACAGTCCCTATTTGAGTGAGATTTTTAGGCGAAGTGAAATTATATTTTACCTCTCAAATGCTACTTTTGATCAATCCTCCACATTTGTTTATAAAAAATAAATCAGAGTCAAAACAACAGCAGACCTGAGACCTGAAGAGAATAGATATGACTAAAGCAGGGGTCTCCAACCTTTTTTAGGATGAGAGCTACTTTCAAAAAAAGTGAGCTATGAGTCATGAGCTACTGTTACTCCTCTTTTGTGTTGTTTTTTGCAGTGTATATATTTAGCACATTTTAACATTATGATATGCTTACCTTTAACCTTTGTGTGCTGTTTGGGTCTGCGGGACCCACTTTCAGTGTTTACTAAAAGAAAATGTATTCAATTTAATTAGTTTAACCTGCTTTATTTGGGGGTGGACCTCACAACCTCTAGGGGGGTCCTCACCTCCTCTAGGGGGGTCCGGGGGCATGCTCCCCTGGGAGGATTTATTTTAAAATGTTGAAGTGAAATGCATCAATCTGGTGCACTTTGAGCACAAAATGAATTTATGGATACAGCTCTCAACACTCATGAAAGGGAGCTGTATACTTTTCAATGATCCAAACATCTTTAGAATATGATCACAACCAATAACAAACATTTCAACTTGTTTATTCTTATCTTATGTTACCTAATTAGCATTCTTTCTTTTTATTTATGCATATTTTACTAATCACTCCCCTTTTTTTTTTTACTGTCCGATACAGTAGTACACATCGGAATGATTTCTTACTTTATTTTTTACAACTATATTAAATGGATAAAGGTGTGCTCTCTCGCTCTCTCTGTCTCGCTCGCTCACAGAGGCTGTGTGCTCCTCCGTGGCGATGACGGCTTGCGTTAAAAAATAACATATTTGTAAAGTGGGGGGACGCAAACGGGATTTCGAAAAGTGGGATTTCCACTGTCCCCAGTGGAAATTACGCCATGCAAGTTGCAACACACACACAGAGTAAAGCTCTGCCCCTCATGTGCAGTATAGGCTGGCACGACTATGCTGTTCAATGGGGCTGATGTGTAGATTCTGCCAGAAGGAAAATCACAGTCAAACTCCTTATGAAGCGGTGAGGTGCCGCTCCACATTGCTTTTCTTCCCGACAGCAACGCTGGTCCCGCAAATCAAGCAAGAACGTGACTGTTGAACCTGGACTAAAAGCAACACATTTGGGAATAGTAGCTTACTTTATAAACTACAGCAGGTCTATAAAAAGCAGGAACAACTGGCACATCTGAAGTCAACAAGGAATGCCTTGCTCTCTGTCCTGTGGTTCTGGGGCTTAACAGATCTTTTCATGCTTTAGTGAAAGTAGGCAAAAAACCGCAAGTCACAGACCACAAGACCACAGGCCCTGCCTGTGCCGAATGCAGGCCAATGACTGGAGATCAGAGCTTGCCGGTCAACCTTTGAGCTTGATTTATCTTCAGAGAATGGCACACAATAAGGAAATCATCTCTGCTGTGAGACTTTTCATACAACACTTCCTCAACTATAAGCAATCACCTCAAGTCATTGGAAAATCTATAAATAAAACACTAGTGAAAAGGGTACAGAAGAGCATAATGATGGTCAGCTCAACATATAGCTGCCTCACAAAACAAACATTACTAAGAGTTTTAAAAAGGCAGACGTGCAGGGAAACTTGTTCAAAAGAGCCGTTAAACTAATGCGTGATCTGTTGCGTAATGGTGCGAGCCAAGGTGTTCAGACAGCACCCATGCGCAAAATTCTTCTCAGCACTCGAACTTGAACTCTTTGGCAGTGTGAAATGGGTGGGCTTGTCATTTTACAGTAAAAAACAGAACACAGAGGGAAAGGCCCGTCTCGCAGGAGCTTTGCTTAAATGGGACAATGTGAAATGTGCCATGACGTTAAATGTCTTCTTTACCTCGTCCACTACATGAGCAATAACAAAACTACAGTCCATGTCTAAGTGTTGCGTCACATTAGAGTACAGTTCAAGCTGCATTGACACAGAACTTGGACTATTTAACTAAACCTGAGCACATGACACTGCTCTGACATTTCAACACTAAAAACGGACAAAACCAACTTTTGGCTAAACAGCTTTAGGCTACAAGCAGTCGTTGATTCTAACGCGAACAAGAAACTATTTTTGTTTCAAACACCAACCATCATGTGCTTTAATTTGGTCCAAATGGCGAGTTGAATTCAGTAAATGTTAGACCGGTTGGATGTGTGAGGGAAATAATGATGTGTTGACGGAAAGTAGCGGAGGAAAAAATACACAAGCTACTACTGGTCACTGGAAAAATGTAACAGTAGGAAAATTATGAAAAATGTATCTAATAATAAGCACTTGATATGGTTTCATCTAAAAAAGGGGAAGTACAAAGGTTTATGATGTAGGGCTGGACAATATGCATCATGATAGACCAGAACGCTTCAACTCGTGTCCCATTTACTACAGATTCTTTATTCATATATATAAATCTGTTTAATGAGAATAATTATTTGAAACAATAAAAAAGCAGCAAATGCTCACAGTGAGGTTGAAGGTTAGACCTACTAATGTTTTTAATTTAAAAACAAATAAACTATCAAAAGTGTAAGTGTAAGCAATTAATAATTTAAGCACTAGGTTGTATTTAGCCTGCAGTCACCGGTGGCCAGAAATAACACTGCAGCCACACCAGATTAAAATGGGAGTCCTATTTATATAGCATTTAAATCCCTGCCAGAAAGAGTCTTGATAATTTTTTCCCATTTGGTTCATTTCAAACTCTATGATTGTCAAGTTTATGAAATGTTTTGTGTCCAAGGACGTGATATGTTGTATTATGGTTATGGATCAGAGCTAGGCAATACTCCAGTGCTGTTATAAAGAATCACAGAGGTACAAAATATATAACTTGTGAGTTATAAAAAAAGACTGCTTACTTCTTTGACAGTTCTTCTGGGTCCAGCAGCGTTCACTGAAGTGTCCGTTGATGGTGGTGGTCTGGCAGGTGGTCTTTCCGATGGCCGCCCCCGGGCAAACGTCTCCGCACTCTCTGTCGTTCTTGTTAGCCATGATGTAGTTGTCCTCCACTGTGTCCAGGATCTTGGACCAGTCCAGAGTGGAGAGGTAGCAGAGATCCGGGTTCTTCTCAATCCTCACTGCTCCACGGGTGATGTTCATCAAGCTATGGAGGCCGATCTCTCGCAGCTGGAGCATCTCGAACATCACCAGGGCGTAGTTGAAGAACAAGTTGTTGCCTCTGATGACCGTAAGGTTGGGGAAAAGATCGCTGAGGGTCTCCATGCCGTAAACTCTGAAGAGCAACAGGTAGTCGGTGACCACCGTCAGTTTGGGGAAACTGATGCCCCGGAAATCCTCAGGCTTGGTCCTGAACATGAGTAATATCTTCAGGTGGCCTTCGATCACAGTGCAGTTCTCTAGCGTTCGTAGGTTGGTCACATTGTTGCGGATGTCCTTGCTCGGACAAACTGAAAAGATATAAAAGGAAATACAAAGGTTCTTTAGAAACTAGAGGAACAACCTTCATTGATGACTCACAAAACAAACACCATTCTGTGGAAAGGATAAGATGCACATGTTACGTTTTATGAGTAACTAAACATTATTTTATTATGAATAGGAAATGTTATGGCTTTTGGACATCAACATTAAAAAAGCATTTCCCTAATAATATTTATGGTGTGCTGAACGTGACTGATGCAATAGGCAAGATGTCTGCTCTGTAAACTGGAAAAGGGAGGTTAAAGAAGTCAGACACGGTCTCAAGGACTAAAGAAAAAAATAGATTTCTTGGTAATTAGAGGGAATATTTTACTGAAAAATATGTGGTGATGTCTCTGGCTTTGATAAAGACCAGACCGTCTTTGCTGACATTTTGTTTAGCAACCACATATCTGGCTGTGAGCCACTGTCAAATATGGAGTGCTGTCCTCAGAGCAAGTCTATGCTCATCCTTGGTAATGCCGAGTTGATTTGTGGAGTTGCTTCTGTAACTCAAGACCATAAAAAACCCTAGCTAATGCATTAAAAATATTTGTCTGGGTGGGAGGGGGAACTGAAGCACTAATGGTCACGTATTGCACCAGTAGAAGATTTGTGGCTTTGTCAGTCTTCACCCACACATGATCCTGTTTCACGAGACATTCCTTAAAAAGGGGATATCATGCTATATTTGAACAATATATTGTAGGGCCATACCTATATAAAGTATATAAATATAGTTTTTTTTTCAAAATACCAAACATATCCTGCATTTTATCCATGCCTCATTTCGCTCTATTTGCTCTTTCCAGCGCTGTTTTTGCAGGGGGCTGATTCTGTGAGCTGCAGCTGACCACGCCCCCCTGCAGGAGAGGGGAGCATGCTTTGAGATCAGCTGCTGGGCTGCAGCGAGGAGGAGAGGGGGAGAAAAAGAGATCTCCGTCCACCGTGCTTTATTCTTATAGAAGTAAGAAGAGAAGTAATGGGGCAGAAACCCGCAATAACACCTTCATGCCGATCTAGATCCATCCGCTTCGCGTTGGGCTCCTGATCAGCCTGTCGTGTTCTTTTCCCCATAATGACCGCGTCGCTGCACATTATCCCTTACATATGATTATATAGAGTCATTATTCATTTGTTTTAAAGCAGGAGGCGCAAAAGCTTGCCTCTGGGAGGGAGCCAGAGCGGAGAATAAACAGAAGGGGCAACCATGGCAACCATGCAAGGGATGTCTTCTTCGCTGCTTTTGTGGCAGACTACAGCGCCACTCACAGGCCTGGCATATGTACTACAGCGTCTCCAGCGCTTTCGAGCGGCAATGGCCGGCCGTGGCCCAACCTCTCATTCCCCTGATAGGTGGAGAATTGACCACTAAGCGGAGCACCCCTTTTGTGACGTAGAAAATAATTCAAATCTGGATCAGTCTGTGTCAGATCCGTTGCAGACCCTTTTTTAGAGATTTGGGTATGGAGGAAAAGAGAGAGGGTTGTGTTTTCTGACACTTGGTGAGTTCCCTGACACACCGGGGACACATATTCATGTATAAAAGACGTACAAGAGTGCATTTTGCATGATAGGTCCCCTTTCACTATGCTAGAGATGAGTTACATTTTTACCGTCTCAAATCATTTTCAATTATACTGTATCACAATGATACAAGAGTTTAATGTAGGGCTGCAAATAGCTATTATAAATCGTCTTTTTTTTCAACGAATCACTTAGTTTATTGCATATTTACACTATATCAAGTGTCAGGTATCTGACTGTTTTCTTAGTTAATTGTAAATAATAGTGTATGGCTCTCTACTATGAGTTACTGTAAGTATGTGACTGTAAATATTGGTCATTAACTAACACCATTGACAACTATTTATATTGTTTATTTATGTTTTGATGAGTAAGGGGTGCGCATTCTTTTCAGTCCATGTGGATTTGTATTTTAAACCAATTTAGCTCGTTATTTTTAGCTCTGGCAGAATGTCAACTGTACTAAAACTTCAGATAGTGCAGTATTCAGTGCTTTTGAAACCTACTGGAAAATACATTAAACCATATTACACTCAGGGGGCTCTGTATGAGCAGAGCTAACAGTAATGAGGATATCCTTAGCTCTCTGTTCTGCAAATGAGCCAAACTCTTAAGCATATGCTTTGTGTGACATAACACAAGTAAGATGTTTTCCTTTGCGGCTGAGATGTGGGACATTCCAGGCCCAATTATACAGTTCACAAGTCATGGCTGCAGCTGGAGGTGTGCTGCCTGGAGAGTGGACTGTATTTGTTTACCAACCATGCATCGGGCCAACTGGTCAACCATGAGGGGGGAAGAGGTATAACAGCTAGGCGTACACCTCTTTATGGCAGCGGCTCCTTTTACACCTTCTGCTGCATAACACTACCAGACCAAGTCCAAACAACAAGCTTTTCACTGCATGACCTTAACCAGCAGACTCACCCCGCAGCAGTTATCTGAAGTTCAGCCTACAACTTTGACGCGTTTAAAATACACACAAAATGTCCTAACATGGGTTTAAACTGCAAGCTATTAAAAGCAACCTGGCTCGATAAAAAGAACATGTCATACATTTAGATCTGCAGCTCCCTTTGTGGTTGTGTCCGAGGAGTACAGCTGAATTGTAAGCATGACGTGGCATGTCACAAAACCTTATCTGCCTCTAAATTAAACACTGCTAATCAAAATGACTGCAACTGATGGAGGAATTTGCAGCAAATGCCTCCTGTAGATCCATTGACTAATACATTTAACGCTACAAAGAGCCTCCATCTTTTCATAAAAGACCCCACACACTCTCAAACAAAACAATTTAATAGACAAAGACCCTAGCAGTGTACTAGGGGACAGTGTGGTCTCCAGCAGAGCACTGGGTGACCCTGTGAAGAAGGCAAATCATCACAGGGTGGCGAGTCCAGGCTCCTATCAGTGTACACTTTCAGCCAGGCCAGTATTTTTAGCAGCGCATTCCCAATAGAGAATCTAATACACTCCGGCCGTACTGATAGTGGCTCACATTGGAAACTAGAACATGGCAGCCTTGGTGTGTAAGTGAGGAATTTTAGAGCGGCAGCAGAGAAAACATTGGCCGAGCCGACTTATCCATGTGTGAACACTTAGTTTAGAAACAAAACTTTGGCAGAAATTGTAACTTCTATAAAAAAAAAAAACAGCACTGTTTTTGTCGCTCTGGCCTTGAGAACAACAAATTCTGTCCGTGAAGACTTCACACAGCTCCAGCTAAACGAACCAGGTGCATCCCAGAATTGAAATGCTGCCTGTATTGTTGAGAAAGAGAACAAACTGGGAGACATCACGAAGGTTACTATGGCGATTCGGCCAGCTCCTGCTTTCCATACATCACCTAATCTGAGCCAGACAAGACCGAAAACACAGCCCGGGTGCTGCGAATCGACAATTAGAGTCATTAGTGGAACAGATCTTTAATGGCCCAAGTCTCTCCGTGCTCGCAGCTCTGAGGCAGATGAACTTTTAAGGTTAATTAAAAAGGACCAGAAGGATGGTTTCCCATCACTTGGTCAAGAAAACGATCAAAACAAAACATTTATCCCACTAACAAGACAGGCGGAGCTGGTTTGTAGAGCACTGTTCGAACACAGATATAATCAAAGTGCCCTCAGTCAGGCATGGAAATGCATTAAAATGGCATTTAAAGAGATAATGAAGAAAATAAATTCAATTGACGCAAAAGCACCAAACTTTATTCTTATCCTTGGAAAATTCTCAACTAAAAAGGTCCACAGAAAAAATGTTCTCCTGGTTTCCGCTTATAAAATGAGAGGATTTGACTCTGACAGAAAACATAAACTGAATATGTTTAGGTTTTGGACAAGAGAAAGTTGTGGTGTGTATTTTTCAATATTTGCGATGGATTAATAAATCAGGCAAGTAAGTGATTGTTAGTTAAACCACTACACAATATTGCAATATATAAGTGCATGCAATCGGATTTGTACAGATCCACTGAAGCTGGCCCAGTACATACAGGCAGCACACCAGTGAGTCAGCCAGGCATAACATTAAATCCATAGAGCTTAAATCAAATTAAGTGAAAAAATACGCCCACACAAGAAAATGTCAATTGCTTCACATCTGACACCTGACTCACAATTCTGTTCATAATGCAGACAAGTTGTAAGCAAGAATAGTATAAATGCAATGCCAATGTAATAAATCCAGATAGATACTATTGTGAATGCCTGATGTAAAACATGCCTAGGCCACAAGCGAGCCCTAATTTTATATCATCATGCACAGAGATATATCACTGACGCAGGAGCACACATACTGTACATATCTATGCTAAAGGGTGTCAGCTCTTCACAGTCTGAGCACAATCCTTTCAATGCAGCTGCATGCATCAACAGGCACTAAAGTTTCTGATCTTTAAAAAGGAGGTGGATGAAGGGGTGGGGGGGTTACAGGCAGCGGTTCCGCCAGGGGGGGGTCCTGCCTGACAGCCTCCAAAAAAATAAATAATTCGAGAGAAGATCGAGAGTTTTTATCTCTTGAAATGACGAAAAGGAAAAAGGACAAGGACATCCCTCTGTTGGAGGGGCAAAGGAGTCTGGTGGGATTCTTTTCGCCGCCAGCAAAGCGTGTTCCTGTGACGGAAAGTGTACTGCCAGCGAGTGCCGGAGCCTCGCAGCAGCGAAACTGAGGCTCCGTGGTAAACTGTGGAAAAATGAAGCCATTTAGGAGTCGAAAGAGCCGGCTCTTCTTAGTGAGCCGAACCAAATGATCCGGCTCACTAAAAAGAGCCGGAATTCCCATCACTAATACGTAAAGAGATATTATCAATAAGGGACGGCTCAATTAAAAATTCAAGTCACGTGACACGTCACACACACAAACCCCCCCCCCCTCGGGGTGGACGCCCTCTCAGCCCTGGTCTGGTGGAAACACTGGTTACAGGTAGTTAGAGTGATGGCGTGTATTATTGCCAGGCCTCAGA